ATAGTGACGTGACCTGATTGGTATTCTTTCAGAGGGTGGATTTAAATCTATTTCCCAAGCGGAGGATGTTTTTAATCCCCCTCTCACTGCACATTAATGCACTATATACACTTTATCTTCTGAGACTGCTACAGTTTGTGTCCTGATAAATATTAAGATTATTACCAAGAACTTTATTTTATTATTTTTTGTGTGGTTTGAATTCATCTTTAACTTCCTGTGTTTCGCTTTCCGATTATCTGATGTTCTACCCATGCCGTCATGTCATGTAATTCCTGAGAGTATAAAATAAAAGCATGAACGGTGCCATTGCTGTTGTTTTCCTTTATTAAAGTACTTACTGTATAGCTTCTACTTTTGTTTATATAACAAATCACCAATTTTGCTTCATGGTTGGAGATTTTATCATCCAATCACAACAAAGCAGAGCGTAATTTGAACTGAAAAATAAATGACTTAAAGTTTTTTTTTTGTTTGTTTTTTACCTTTGTTTACTCTTGGATTCCTTAAAGAAGAATCTAGTTTACCTGTCTGACCTGTTTGTGTAATTTAATCCTGGATAAATCCAGGTGTTCTATGGAAGCTCTTTAAAGAACATTAGAGAACAAACATTAGGAATACCAAGGAATCCTGCAAACAGATTAGGAAGGACATTATTGAGATGTAGTTAGATTAGTTAAGAAAATTATGTTAAAGGTATAGTGGAGGATGTTCTTTTTCCAGGTGGATCATCAAAATAAGTGGTCCTCCTAACTGTTAATCATTATGGTGATATGTTTACTACATGCTCGTATTTGCTCGTCCCCATTTTCACTTACCGGTGGTGAGTCTGACATAGTGGAAAAATTGCAAATCTTCTTTTTGAAAGTAATCTTCTATGAGCGATGCAAACAGAAACTTTTAAACAGTGTTCACGAGGAGAAATAGGCTCGTGCACGCTCTGACACGTTTAATAGTCGTTCTTTAGGTGTGCTTTGGCAGCGCAGTGGTTAGCGACCCATGTGAAGAGGCCCAAGTCTTTGATGTGGCCAACCAGGGTTCGAATCCGGCCTTTCCTGTAGGCCTATTGTCCACAAAACAGCCACAAGTGCTGTAAAAATAAAACAAAAAATTATTTGTTCCCTCTCGGGAGCGGGTACAGGGTTGTTCATGGGCTTTCTTTTTTAAAGTGGAGAGTCTCTTCAAAAAAAATCCTCCACTATACCTTTAAGCTTAGAAGAGTGGTTTTCTAAGTGAGGACCACCAGAGCGTGCTACGGGTTCTCAGAAAAATAAGAAAAAAACTTGCAAAAAAAAAAATGTTCATGTTTTTTCTTTATCACACATATTTCAACCAATATTATAAAAGAGATTTTTTTCTTTTTTTTCACATCCTGTTTTTCAATTTTTTACAGGTCAGATTCCCACTTCTAGGGACGGGTTTTCTTTTGATGTCATGAGGAATTTAAAGACGCGTTTCTATTGGTCTGCTGGACCAATTTTATTGGTCAAGAGCGAATGTTTCTACTGGGCTTAAAGTGAAGAAATATCCATCTGTAAAATGTAATTTGTAAAGAATGAAATTCATAAAAACCAATCGTATAAGACTTTTCAAAAAATGAAAACAAAAAAAGTATATAAAAAAACTAGCATACCTTTTTTTTAATATATCATTTTCAAGTTTTCATTTCTATATTCCTATTTTAGTTTTTCAAATTCAAATGTATAAAATGCAACAAAAATGGAACAAATTCCACTCCATACTCGCCTGGCCCTGGTAGGGCCGATGCAAACATGAACGGAGCTGAATTTAAAGCAATCAGATGCTTGTTTATGACGAAGAATGGACCTGAAATGTCCTGGAAAGAAGCATCTTCTTAACCATCCTGCTCTATTCTGTGTTGTTCCGTCACAATACATCCCAACAAAACCAAGATGTGTCATTCTAACAAATTAAAATGTTTAAAAAAAGTTTACAACTTAAAGTTAAAAGAAAAAAAAAAGAGAGTCCAAAAGTTTGAAACAAATCTTTAATTCAGGGGTTTTACATAAAACAGTTCCCCAGGTTTTTAGCTGGAGATTAAAGTAAAGACATGACGATGCTACAGTAATCAGAGATAAGAACAGAAAGTCCAGAAAATTAAAACTATTGTCATAATCAACGTTTTCAGGCTAAGTTTATCAAATAGAATCCACAGGTACGCTCTTGGAAATGGCTAGAAAAATCAGCTTTTATAGTAAAATAGAAAACTATATATAGGTACAGTATAAACATCCAATAATTTGGCCTTGATTAGGGCGGGGGGGTATTTACATGCAGAAAGAGGCTTCTGCCAGTGAACCAGAGAGGAATCACAGCCTGCAGCCATGTTGGGAAGGTGTGAAGGAGGTCAGGTTTGGGCAACTTTATAAAACTGCAGCAGCAGCAGCAGTCAGTTCCAGCTTGAACTGTTTGATTTCTCACTCGGAAAAAAAAAAAATGGTCTCAGGTTCTGGCTGCTGCTTTTGCTGCTTAAATTCCTTTGTTTAATATTCAGCAGGTGGATTCGCAGCAGAGGTTATCTTTAAATGATTAAAAATAGGTTTAAAGTACAGTAATTTATTTATAAAAGGCACTGGCAAGGAGACGGATGAAGCAGGAAAAAAAGCTGTAATGGAAACAAGGTAGATGTGCTTTCATATCTGCAGCTTAAGGAGCACATAGTTTATTCTAATTATGTTAAGATGTTACTGCCTCCATTTTTTAACTTGTCGGTCGTTTGGCTGTAATTATTACAGTTTGAGAGGAAACCTGACGATAAAAGGGAATGAAAGTCCCTCATATTCAGTTAAACGCATAACTTGAAACGATAGTTAAAGTCTATGCCCCCCTATTGAAATGCAAGGTTTATTGTAAAAAAAAACATAAAAAAAAAACAAATAAAAATAAAAAATGACCGGATACAGTCAAATTAAATAAGAACACCCCATCAAAACTGCTCTTTTAACAGATTTTTTAATATATAGATGCTTCAATGTTAGTTTTAATGAAAATGAAAAGGTTCAATTATCAAGAAAGTTTTTAAGTACGAATCATTCAACTGTCTGAGAAAGAAGAAAGAAAGAAATCCCATACGAGCTGCGCAGCATGGAGGTGGACGCGTCATGGTCTGAGGAGTTCCAAAGTTCCCAAACTGGGGTTCAGCAGAGACTATGGGACCACCTGAAAGAAACGTCCCAAAGGTTCCCACTGGGAGGTAGGGTGTTTCTGCAGAAAATTTAATTATTTTTCCCTTTTTCAAATATTTAAAATTGAGTTAACATTTTATTTTATTCTGCTGAAAATGTTTAATAAAGAAGTAACTTTTCGGACAATAGCATCCTGTTTTGTTTAACTGATTCAAAAATGTGAGACCGTATTATTGTATAAAATTAAGGAAAATCTGCCATACCCGGTTTTTAAAAGTTTTTACACCCTTAGTTGAAATACTTATTGAAAAATAAACATCCTTTGTCTGGATGCAAAGCTCAATGTGAAACTGCTTTGAGTAGCTTACAGAACCTTGCAGTGAGGCTGAGGGAGGTTCTGGTCTAGACACGACAACAGCCTGCTCTGTTTTCCATATTTCTGGAACCAGCAGCAGGGTTGGGGGTAAGTGAGGAAGATTAGCTTCGACTTATATCCACCAATCCGTATTTCAGTTGTTTATTCCTTTTTGAATGTTAAATTAACATAAAAATTGTTATTTATTATTTGTTTAGTAAAATAATATATGAAAATAGAGATAAGTTCCTTTTTCACGCTTTTTTTTTCAAACTGTGTTTTGGGCTCTGAATAGTTTTATGAGCCAAAAATGGCAAAAATAATAAGAAGGGAGAATTAAAAAGGTGCTTTAGTAAAGAACAGCAGTTAAAAGTTTTCAGAGGATCTTCAATCAGTTTAGAAATCATAGCAGTAACAGCTGCAGTGCTAGCTAATAAATAGGCAGCCTAATCATGTAAAGTCATACTGACCTTTTTCAAATGTTTATAGACAAGAAAAAGTATTACTTTGTGTAACGTAAACACAAGCGGGTATAAAATGACTTACAAATGAATCCATTATGAGAATCATTGGAACTCTGAAGCAGAAACAAATAAGATCAGAAAACAGCAAGTTGAGAACAACGCTGCGCTGAAAAAAAAAACACAAAAAAAAAACAAGGAAGTTCTGCAAAATTATGAAAAGTAGAATTAAAAAACATTTTTGTTAACTGAATAAAAAATAAACCTAGCAGCTGAATAGAACTGTAATAATAGTTTACAAAATAATAAAAATTAACTGAATTTCTAACGGGAATGTGTTTGTTTCTTTATCATAATGCATTATGAAGCGTCTAGTTGCTGTTTTAACTTACGCCAGCAGATGGCAGTATAGCAATCAGGTCATTTTATTGCTGCAGCGTCTTTCCTCTGGGATTTTATTCCTATTATTTTCTCTCCTAGAACTTGAAGTATATAACATAAAACACTAAATCTATAACTGATAAAAAATAAAAAAATAAAATAAAAACTTCATTAAACTAGCTAACAAATACTTAAAATCAAACCTTAAATTGAATAGTAAAAAATAAGTCAAAACTAAATGAAAATAAAAATCAATAACATTTTTTAATTTATTGAACTTTGCTACTGAAGCTCATGAATAATAATTTAGGCTGCAACATTTTCTCCTTCCTGATGAATTATTTCTTGAATTATTTCTTGATGCACCTGTGGCTGTCTTTGATGAGCTGAATAAGGCTTTTTTTTCATCCAAATAAAACCCTTATTGAACTGATTTGTTAGTGATTTTGGATTGAAAAGCAGTTTGCATCCGGCTTGCATGGGTCCAGAATCAGTACCTGCTGGATCCTGGACCCATGCAATCAGCTGCAAAGAGCCAAAAAAGAAAGAAAAAAAATTTTCCTTTGCTTTGTTCTATATTTAATTAATTTTTAAAGAAGGAATTACGGAGAAACTACTCTTGTTTTTTATTCATTTCATAAAATGATATTGAAAAGCAAAGACAGTTTCTTGTTTTTTCATTGGTTCAGTTTGAAAAACAAATGAACAAATGATAGACGGATTGGATCTAATATATGTTGGAGTTTAATCTGATGTTTAGTTGTTTGTATCAAAGCATATGAAGAACTATCCACCCATCCATCCATTTTCTGTCCTCTTATCCCAAGCGGGGTGCATAAGAAGAACTAATAGTTTTTAAAACAATAGAAGTGACAGGAAGTTCGGATAAAATGTACTTTAAAGAGTTTTTTCCATCATAACCGGACATTTGTTCTGCTGCTTTCATGACATAAACCTAACCAAAACATAAACAAGTGGTGGTTTTAGAGGCAGTATCTAATAATGATCCTGTCCTTTCTAAGCTGACAGATCTGTTAAAGTATGCCAGGAAACAGCCTTTAAATAGCAAACAGCCTCCCAGAGTGGAGCAGCAGGAGCGTTTCAGCCTCCCTGCTCTGTTTTAGAACGATAATGATTGGTTAAGTTGGGTGAAGAGCGTACAGGACATTAAAGCCTGATGATGCTCATTTTCTGCAGCCATGAACTGACAACACGTTCCTTCACATGGAGTGAGACTTTGAGTGGGTCTACATGAGCGACTCCAGGCTCTCTGTGGTGTTGGACTGTCCCAGTGGTACAGACCCGTTAGTCTCTGGACTCTGCAGGGCTCTCTGGTCCTCCTGGCTGCTCACCAGGCTCAGCATGGCTCTATAGAGATACTGGTACTGCTCCTGTGGAGTGGACAGAGAGTTCATCACAGCAATTTTTGTGTTAGCAAACTAGCAAATGTTTTAACATCAATTCCCCAATCAAACACTTACAATGTCATTAAAAACCCCAGGTCTCATGAGGTTTGTCATCCGTGCCACCATGTAGACGTCCACCGCTCCCTCCTCCTCTAACTGGTTGAAAAGGGTGGTGAGAGCGCAGAAAAGCCCCGATGTAACTCCCCCCAAACTGCACAAAAATAACCCAAAACACTTAGCTCAGAGAAAGAAAGAAAAAAAAACAGTCTGAGGAATCCTGCAGGTTTTTTACTCACGGATCGTGTACGACCACAGGTTCCCGTGTGTGTCTGCAGCGCTCTGTGACCACGCCGATGAGGTCAAAACTGTTCCTGATGGGACTGTCTGGATTAGGCCAGCAGGGGGGTCTGAACTGACGAACGAGCAAGATGCAATCATTCTGGAAGGAGACAAAGGTGCAGAATAAGCAGAAATATACACAACAAAACGAACAATAAAATAAAAAACTAAACAAAAAAAAAATCTACCTTTTTCATATCTATATTCATGCTGCTATAGGCTTAGAATGCTGGAGGGCATAGGGGCAACTTGTCATCATTCTATCTCTATTTTCTCATTCTGCAGTATTATTTTGTTTTATAAAGACTTTTGTTTATAGATGTTGAAGCTGTTTTTCTGACTGTGACTAACTGTATGTGCCCTCTTCATCCTCTGACATGTGTTTCCTGGACGAGGCCGCCAGAGGAGCTGTTTGACAGTTGCCTTTTTTATCTCTGCTTCTTTTTCTATGTCTGCTTCTGTCTCCTTGAACCCCAGTCAGCCTCTGCAGATGGCCGCTCACACCGGGTCTGGTTCTGCTGAAAGTTTTCTCCTGATAAAAGAGATTTTTTTTCCTTGCAAGGCATTGCTGAAGAATCAATAACAAAATGGAAGCTAGAATCGTCGCCAAAAGCTCATCCAGGAGGAGCATGCCTTCCAAGATTATGTATATGTGCAATCAAAAGCTTTTTTCTTGATAAAAAAAACCAACAAATCTGTATTCTCTGTCAAGTACCTTAAGGTGACATCTTGTGAGTTGGAGTTATATATATCTATCCATCTATCTATCCATCCATGCATCTATATATAAACTGATAGATTGAATAAAAAAAAATAATAAGATGGGATTTAGAAAAGCAGATATAAAAGAGTTCTGTATTTTCCTAAATGGTCAAGAAAAAATTGCCAGAACTCAGTGAAAATGACAACTTTATCAAGAGTAACAAATCTCTACTTGCAAAATGTTTGATATTTCAGACAACCACACTTTTAACCGAGTTATTAGTTCAGACATCCATAATGAATACCAAATGAATTAGAGAGCCCTCTGTACACTTTTTATACAATTTAGTCT